CGTGTGTGTGTGTATGTATATCTATGTATGTATTTATGCATGTATGTATGTATTTATGTGTGTGTGCATGTATACACGCACGCATGCATGCGTGCGGGCGCGCGTGCGGGCGTGCGTTCGTGTTTGCATGCATTATGTATGTATGTATGTACGTAGGTATGTACGCATGTAAGTTTGCATTCGTGCATGCATGCATGTATGTATGTATGTATTTATGGATGTATGTATGTATGTATGTATGTATGTATTTGTGTATGTATGTATGTAAGTATGTATACATACAGTACATACGTACATACTAAACCCTATAGCTTGAAAAGTTGAGCTTAGCCAGTAGCCACTGAGAATGAAGCTTGAATTGAGTCTATTTCCGTCTTGACTAATAGGCGATGAACTTGGTGCATCCTCTGGCATTTTCAGGATATCTCTTGTGCAAATTCATATAGAAATTAACTGATTTCATTGGACTTAAATATTAACTTGGATTGTGCAACAAAATAATATGGATTTAGAAAAATTGTGGGTGTTGCATTCGAAGACGCAGCTGCCAGTGTAAAAGTCTAAGAGTGGGATGACGACTGAACGGATTCGGGTTTCATGATGGCTGCTATGAGTGACGATTGGTGCTGTATTCGTTTCTCGCAGTGGCACTAGTACCTATAAGTGCTATAGGCTTTGTAATTTTGCCGAGTCGCCATGTATGTCAGCAGACTCTACTGAGTGTGACGAAGCGAAAAAGAGCATTTCATATTGGCAACTAATGATGGCGGGTGTTGAGAATATCCCTTTGATTGGACTGGTTGTCTACACCTTCGCCTTTCCATATATATGCCTCCCCCTCTTGTACGCTTTAAGATTCACACTAGTCTGGTACTCACCTCGTAATCAGACTCTTGTGGTAGTCGGCCTAGCACTCATTGCGATATCATTTGGAACGGCAGCCTTTCTCTTGTGGGGAGATGTCTGGAATGAAACCAAATACGGATTTATCATAGCTAATGCATGGGGCATGTTTGCACTGTCCGTACGTCTGGCCACAACTTTAATGATGATAGCCTGCCGGAAGTTGGTGTCCAAGTGGCAGCGTCCGGTATCGAGCTGGATTATCAGTATCTCGTTCACTTTTTTTGTTCATTCCGCTGTGCTTTTTGATCACCGTGTTCCTACCGAAAGCCACGTGGAAGGTTATCAATGGCTTTATACGAATTAAAGAAATCAAGTTTACAATAAGTTTACAATATACAGAGAGGTCTTAGTTTTATACGCCACAATCTTCACTACTTGTCTAGCGATGGTCTTGGCCAAAGAGTACCGCGCCTCCAGATTGATGCTTAAGAGAGCACTGCGACTTGGATCTTTCCGAACGAAATAGGATCTTTATTAGCTGCTATAGTGTATTTGTTCCTAATGGTGTTCTGGATGGTTCACTTTAGTCACGACACCAAGTCGTCGAAAAGGGAAACCGACTGCTATGACGTAGACGTGTGTATTAGAATTTATGCCGCTGTGCACGTGGCAGCCAACGCTGCAAATCTTCAAATTTCGCTGCTGACTCTACCTATAGGTCGCACCAATGTATTTGGCAAAATAATAGGTATATCCTGGGAGGCTAGTATCAAGTGGCATCGATTTATCGGATATTTGTTCCTTCTCTTTTCGACAGTTCACGGTGCCTTGTTGTATTGATACCTGCGGTCTGACTTCACTAGCAGTCCCGAATACATTAAGAAAAATTTAACCAATCCGATGGTTTTCCTGGTTCAGTGTCGCGTTGGTGGTGTTCGGTGTGCTTACGCTACCATTCTTCCGTCGGAGATTTTACGAGTGGCTCTTCGTGTCCCATCACTTTTACGTAGTAGTTTTTATCACTGTCGTCTGGCATGCAGGTCGACTTTGGCAAATCCTCTTACACACAATTGGCCTATGGGTTATTGATCAGGCAATTCGTTTGTACAGATGCACAAGGGATGTGGGGTAGTCGAAGATAACTGTATACGGAGATAGATTTGTTCGTCTCGACGTTTCTGACCTACAAGGGAAGACAATTGGTTTCACAACGATACAATTCGCGTATATCAACATTCCAGCAATTTCCACCTCTCAGTGGCGCCCTATAACGATAGGAAGCAGCCCCGCAGAGGATAGAATCACTTTCTACATCAAGTCTCTGGGTCATTGGTCGAGCTCTTTAAGCTGGGTGGCGAGTGCCCGATAGTTCACCTAGACTTCGTCTATGAAACACCTCCTGTTTTCAATGAATTTGCGAACATCACGTTGGTTTGTGGCGGAGTCGGGTTCACAGCGTGCATGGGCTTCATGCGAAGTTTGATCTTTGAACCTCAATTGTATTCCAATGTGAAGCGGGTGCAAATTATAATGAGTATGAGGGAGAAGACAGTGTTGCGTATGGCGCAAGATACTCTGACGCTACTAATGAACAACAAGAATGACGCTGTAAGCGCTGTACAAATATTCTTAACCGGACAGGGCCCCGATGAACCAGAGGATGAGCTTCACGAGTATATCCTATCACAGAAGAGATTCTCATCGACTGAACTTGATTACGAGATGAACCAAGAAAAGCTGCCCCAAAAACCCGAATTCGATTACGAGATGAAAGAAGAAAAGCCGCCCCAGAAACCCGAATTCGATTACGAGATGAAAGAAGAAAGGCTACCCCAGAAATGTATATGT